TCTCCTGCTGGTAATAGCTTATCCAAAGTGACCACTCTCCTTACGTTGTGTATGATAATCAAGGTGGGCCATTTCCAGCACAAATCCAGGGTTTAACAAGAACGTCTGGGGGGGGGGAGGAAAAAACAAGGGGAAATAGGCTACCTTGCATAATGACTAAGCCACTCCCAGTCTCTATTTCCTATCTCGCCCCCCCCCCCCCCCGACGTTCTTGTTAAACCCTGGATTTGTGCTGGAAATGGCCCACCTTGATTATCATACACATTGTAAGGAGAGTGGTCACTTTAGATAAGCTATTACCAGCAGGAGAGTGGGGTGGGAGGAGGTATTTTTTCATGCTTTGTGTGTATATAATAAGATCTTCTAAACTTTCCACAGTATGCATCCGATGAAGTGAGCTGTAGCTCACGAAAGCTTACGCTCAAATAAATTGGTTAGTCTCTAAGGTGCCACAAGTCCTCCTGTTCTTTTTTCAACCTGCCAAGTGCTCATCCAGCGAGATGGCTGGGGATGCAGCACCCTGGACAGGCTGGGTGCTCCCCTGGCAGCATATGGGCTCCCCAGCACAAGGGGCAGCTGTGGAGAGAGCCTGCTGAGAAGCCGGTGACCGTGGGCAGTGCACGCAGCAAGACGGATCTCAGCAGAACTGAGTAGCTTCCTCTCCCAAGTGCCACGAATGTGATCTGTGCTAGATCCTGGCACGGAGGGGAGCAGGGACTGGCCCCAGTGCCTAGGGTGACATGGCACCTAGGCTTTACTTTCCCCAGGCAGGAACCCAGTGCGGGTGGGCTCCGAAGGGCTGGCTGAGGCCCTGGCCAGGCAGTGGAACAGCAGGAGATGTTAACGGAGCAGCTGCTTCTCCAAGTTTGTGGCTAAACAGGAGTTTCCCAGGGAGCCCATGGCGGGGTGGAGGGATGCCTCTGTGTCACTCGGGTGGGAACATTAATGAGGAGCTGGGCACTGGACCCTGATTGTGCATGGGGAAGGGGCTGATCAGTGGAGCTGCCCCTCACTCCTTTCCCTACATGGTATGCCCGGAGGACGACTGGCCCTGCGCTACCCATGCAGATTGTTGTGTCCCCTCTGCAGGGAACGCAGTGACTGCCAGAGCCTGTGGCTGCCCTGCCCACTGATGCCGACACAGATGCTCTGAGCTTCATGGAGCCCAGCACCCCAGGTGGCCGCCTCACCCTCTCCGTCCCCTTAGGTACTGTCCCCTTTTGCTGGCCAAGGGGGGAGGAGTTGGCGGTCACTCCAGAAGCCCTCGGGGGCAGAGGGGAGCCGCAGCAGCGCTGCTCCAGGGGGCAGAAGTTGCTGGACAGGATCGTAGGTGTGTCAGGGAAGTGAGACCACTGGCACTGTCCAGGTAAGGGAGACGGCTCAGGATTATGGTGCCATGAGACGGCAAGAGGATGGGCACAAGCAGCTGTCTGGTGCCAGCTCATGCTACAAGACAAAGCAGCCCTTCTAACCACCTGTGGGTCAGAGTGCTGTGCAGAGCCTCGCTGTAACCTCCCCTGGGCTCAGTACCCCTTCCTAGCCCCCTCCTGAACCTCTCCAGGCCTGGCCATCCCCCTTTCAGCTGGCAGAGTTCAGCAGGAGCTCAGCACTGGCCCATCTGGCCGGAGGGAGCTGCCTGTTCTCCCAGGGGCTGTGGAAATTCCTGCTGGAAGCACTGGGAACTTTAATCTTGCGCCTGGCGGTGTGATCAGACGTGGCTTGTTCTGCAGATCCATGGGTTGCGCTCACCTAGCCACGCCATGCAATTCTGGCAGCTGCTGCCCTGAGTCCCAGGCTCGGCTTGGAGCTGGGCACATGTCACTCCTGAATGGCGCTGCTGGCTTGGCTCGCTTCCCAAACCCACTCACCGCTGGTCTGCGTCCGACCTTGTGGAATCACAGCCCCAGAGGAACTGAGGGATTAAAGGGGCTTGGATCACGGCCAGCTCTCCCTGGGGCATGCTGGGCCTGCTCTCAGAAAGGCTACAAGGAATGGACTTCCCGGGGCTGGAGTGCTTGGGGACTTTGCTTAGAGTTTTTCTTTCTCCTCCCCTCAGGGGATGCAGGAACTGGCTTCTCTCTCCTGAGAATGAGCTGTGGATAGATGTGTGGACAACAGCAGCCATAAACCCCCAGCTGCTTGTCTCTGCTGTGAAATGGAGCCTCAGGGGGTCGGGCTGGCTGGACCTGGGCCCCTGTGTTTATAAATCCAACCCAGGGGCCAGATTCTCCAGGACAGGAATCCGAAAGTGCCCCTGTCTCCGAGGAGCCATGAGAACACTGCCCTCTCTTGTGCTTTGCAGTCACAAAACTGCTGGGGAGGAGAAGGACCAGAGACCTGGCTCTCCACACCCTCAGGGCAGGGAATGCACTGGATGGGCTGTTCCTCCTAAAGACAAGTTCCTGTGCTTTCCCAGCCTGCCTGGCTAGAGCCAGGGTCTCCGCTGGAAAGAATGTCTGTTTCTTCTCTGCGTGAATCCTCTGCAGGCAGGAACAGCATGTTAACAATGCTCCCAGCTGGTCTGGAAAAGGGAGGAGCTGCCCCCAGGGAGCCAGCACATTGCAGGGTGTCCGACTTGATGCCATGGAGATGGGCAGAGTCTGCCAGCGCCTGTGGTCCCCTGGGGAGCAGGGTCTCCGCAGCACAGGGTGGGCTGAGTGGGCGGGAACATAGGGATGCTGCCAGGTTTCAGCTCTGGGGAGTTGCTAAGGCTCAGACCCCACCTTGCTGTCACTACCTTGCTCCTCCCGGCACCCACTGCAGCTCTAGGGGAGCAGGCATGCTGGTGGGGAGGGGTGGCACAGACAGGGCCCTGGGGGCAGGGGGGGAGCCCTTCCTTAGGGGATTAACCCTGGAACGACTGGCTGAGGGCTGGGGTGTACCAGGTGCCTCTCTCCTGCACCTGTGTCCAAGAGCTGGGCTAGGTACAACACTGACAGCCGGAACCAGCCAGGTTTTGACCTAGGGCTGGGGGTGAGGGCAGCCCCTGGAGTGAGGCAGCTGGCCTGGCTGGGATGAAGGCACTTGCCACAAACCACATGGCACCAAGGCACCTTTGTCCCAGGCTGTGTCCATGGGTGGGGCCAGCCCTGGATGGCTCACATGCGACACTGTGCTGTGGCTCCAGCAGGGGGCTTGGCCCAAGGCTGGAATTGCTCCATGAGGGTCCCTGGCCTGGGTTGCACAGCAGCTCAGACTGGATGGGCACAAAGTTCCCCTCTGTCCTCTACCTGTGAGTTCCCAGGAGCTCATCTCCCCCAGACTGATCCCCCCTCCCGAAAGCGTCTGTTTGCTGCAGTAGCTGGCTGGTTCCAGGCCGGTCGCCTGCCCAGTGCCCCCGCTGGCCTCGCATCCCTGCCCAGCTGGCTCCCTGTGCAGAAGCCCACCAGCCCCGCGCAGCAGGGCCCATAGCGACAGGGAGGGCCCAGTTCTGAGTGGGATCCAGCGCTCAGGCAGAGGGGATGCCTGTACACATCCCGACAGGAGGCCACTCTCCGTGAGGCCAGCCTTGCCTGGGGGCTGCTCTCTGGTCGTGGCAAGCTGGAGCTCTTTTGCTGTGTAACCTGGGCCCAGCGGGAGTGCCGCCCTAGGCTGGGGGTTAGGAAGGCTGAAGCAAGGCACAGCGGTTCTGGGCAGGTGGGCCCCTGTGGAGGTTCCCGTGCTGTGGGCAGAGGGCTGTACTCTCACAAAGCCCTGGTTGCACAGGGGCGCTACCAATGGTGCAGGGGCATGGAACAGGCCCTGCTCTGACATTACCGTGCCCTTGCGGGAGAGCCAGGCAGTGCCGGCTCCCTTATCTCTGTACAGGGAAGGGCAAGCAGGAGCCTGAAGGACACAGGCAGGGACTGGTGCCTGCGGAGGCAGAGCATGAGGCCAGCGAGCAGCTGGGGGCCAGGCAGGGCTGCTCCAGGTGTTGGCTCTGCACTAACTGGCCCTTCTGTTGCTAAGAGCCATCAGTGCCACCTGGAGTGACCGTCCCCCCACCAAGGCACTGCAGAGGGCTGGGGGAGGGGACACCTGATGTGATCCACTGGCTGCAAATGTTTAAACCAAGGAAATCAACAGCAGCCCATCAGAAGCCAGGATTTTCCTGTGCACGTAGTAGAGTGCCCGGGGCAGCTTGCCCTAAAGGGACTGTAAAAAGGCCCCGGCTCAGAAGAGCTTCCCTTCCCCAGGTGGATCAGGCTCAGAGCTGTTCCTCCCCCTCAGGTGATCTGAGGGTCGGCACTGGGGGGCATAGAGCAGGGACTAGGGGAGGGTGCTGGGCTCATGCATTAGCATGAGAATTGTGAGATTCGGAGAGAGCATCATCTGTTCAGCCCCAAGGTCTCCCAGTGCTGCTGTCCCTGCCATGGGGCAATTGGGTCACGTGGATTGCTGGGGACCAAGCCCCTCTGCCTGATGCATGCAGGAGGAGTGCCCAGCTGTACAGACAGGTAGAATAACCAGCCGGTCCTGTGTAGCAGCAGACAACGGGCTGGAAGCAAGACCATGGACACGGAACCAAGAGCTGCTCTGCTTTACAGCCTGGTTGCATCAAACAGCCTGGGTTTGTTAGGACGGGGGGTCTGTGGCTGGCAGTGTCCCAGACTGCACTGAACACGCCATAGCCCCTGGCCCTGTGAAGTCAGTTGCCTCCCAGCTGGCAATTCGGCCCCCTGCATGTTGGGCACCGCTCAAGGCTAGCGCACTGGCCTTCCATGCTTGGTTTAAATCCTTCCTGGTCACCCGGGCAAGGAGTTTGGTGGATCTCAGTATCCCTTTGCCCAGATCCCCAAAGAATTCAGTATGGTGGGCAGTGGCTGGGAAGCAGGAGCTGGTACTTAGGAAGACAGGGATAGAGGGGGCTGTAGGGTAGGAGGAAGGGGCAGTGGTGGGGGGAGGGGGAGGAACCCAAACTGGGCTGTGGATGAGGAGCACAGGGAAAGCTTGCAGAGCACCCACCCCTGTGCTGCCAACTGCAGCCAGTCCCTTCTGTCGCACTCACGGGCTCTGCACTCAGACAGATGCTTCTCAAGTCAATCGTTTGTATTTTCACAGTCTGAGCTTGAGGAAACAGAATCTTTTGACTGAACAAGAGAGGAAACCAGGCACGAACCACCCCTGGCCAGCCCAGCCCTGCCTTGCCGTGAGCTCAGTGCGTCTGCCCCACCTCTGCTCCCATGACACTGACTGATGTGGGCGGGCTGCAGGAGCATGGTACTGTTTGCCCTGGGTCACAGCTTAAACTCTGCTTTGGGACTGGCTAGCCCCGTGGCCTCCATTTCTGCTCTAGATTTGTCAGAGCTTGGCACCTCCTGCCTTTAGCGCATGTCTGGACCCTTTTGTGAGCAGAGAATCCCTGCCCCTCTCCCTGTGCACGGGCACTGGCATGGAGTGCCCAGGGGGGGCCCTGCTGGTCCTCTACTTCCTTTTATTTAATACTTCCTTTTATTTAAAACAAACAAAAGGAAGTATTTCTTCACACAATGCACAGTCAACCTGTGGAACTCCTTGCCAGAGGATGTTGTGAAGGCCAAGACCATAACAGGGTTCAAAAAAGAACTAGATACATTCATGGAGAGATAGGTCCATCCATGGCTATTAGCCAGGATGGGCAGGGATGGCGTCCCTAGCTTGTTTGCCAGAAGCTGGGAATGGGCGACAGGGGATGGATCACTTGATGATTCCCTGTCCTGTTCATTCCCTCTGGGGCACCTGGCACTGACCCCTGTTGGAAGACAGGACACTGGGCTTGATGGACCCTTGGTCTGACCCAGTGTGGCCCTTCTTATGATCTTAGCAGCAGCTGTGGCAGAAGCCCAACCCGGCTGGAAGGGCTTCCCTGCAGCCCAAAGGGGCAAACTGAGGCGGGGCTAATGAGGCCTTGCCACTGAGCCCAGCTGTCTCTCCTGGCCGGCAGAGCTGGCCTGAGCACGGGGATGCTGGCCAGGACACCAGGGCTCTCCCCGGGCTGAACACCTGCGACTTAGCCCTCCTGAGGGGGGTAGGGACACCCGGCCTGGCCTTCCCCAGGGCCGCCCCCTCCGACCCCCGCGCCTGCACTGATCGCTGGCCTGGCTGCAGGGGCCCCCGGGGGGCGGCTATTTGTCCAAGATGAGGAAGAGCAGCACGAGCAGCCCGATGGGCAGGAAGATGAGCAGCAGGCTCAGCGTCTCTGCCGCCAGCAGCGCGGCCAGCGAGAGCAGGTAGCAGCAGCGGCAGCGGCGCCGCAGGCCGCCCAGGCCGCTGACCAGGCAGGGCGGGTAGCGCAGGCAGGGCAGGCAGCCGAACGTGCGGCTGGTGTGGAAGCGCACCTGGAAGCGGTGCTCCAGGGCCCCGCAGAGCCCGGGCCGCCGGGGCGGCAGGGGGGCCGGCGCGGGCAGCGCCAGCGCGGGGGCCGGCGCGGGCTGGGCGTGCAGCAGCAGCAGCTCCTCCTGCAGCTTGCAGATCTCCCACTCCAGCATGGGCGTCTTCTGGCGGCAGATGGGGCAGCGCACGCGGCCGATGTCGGCGGCGCCGGCCCGCTCCAGGATGGCGCGCAGGCAGTCGCTGCACAGCACGTGGCTGCAGTTGAGCAGGGCCCGCGAGTGCCGCCCGCGGTCGTAGGGCTCCGTGCAGATGGGGCACTCCTCCTCGGCGCTGCCCGCTTCCAGCGCGGCCTGCTCGCCCGCCCCGGCGCTGGCGAGGCTCCGGCTCCGGCTGGGGGTCCTTTCCAGGCGGGGCTGCCCCTGGGGAGCTGCCGGGCTGGGGCTGCTGCCGGCCGCTGGCAGCGGGCTGAGTGGGGCTGGAGCCGGGCAGAGGGGCCCCGCTCCCAGAGGCGCGGTGCGGGGGCCGCAGGCAGCGGGCGCTTTGCGCTGGTCCAGGAGAGGCTCCCGCGCTCCCTCCTCGCCCTCCAGATCCGGGGGCCCGCTGGGCACCTTTCCCGAGGGCCAGGGCGCGGCCCCCGGCCGGGCGCCCCCTTCGCCTCCCCAGGCCGCCGGCTCGCTCTGCCCGGGGCTCTCCGCATCTCCCGCCTGCCCGGCCGGTTGCTGGTCCGCGGCGGCCGCAGGCGGCAGCTCGCCCTGCTCGCCGGGCACGCCGAGGGGCGCCGGGGCGAGGGGCGGCTCTGCCCGCAGGACAGCGGCTGTCATGCCGGTGGCCGATGCAGGGCAGCTGTGGCCGCCCGCTGGCCCGGGACTGCGTCCCATGCGCCGAGAAGGGCAGGCGGGACCCGGGAGCCGCCCCGCCCCCGGTTCGGCCACCGCCCCCCCGGCCCGGGGCCAGCCTCGCCGCCCGGCTGGTTTGGCGGCTCCACGGCCACGCCTCTGCTCAGCTTTGCTCCCGCCGCCCTTCCCGGAGCTAGCCCCAGCCCCCCGTGGGGCCGCAGCGGCTGGGACCAAGGGGCCCCCCGCTCCCCTGGGCTCGCCCTGCAGCCGGCTGCTCTCCAGCCCTCGCCCACGGACCACCTGCGCTTGTCCAGGGGGCTGTGACTTCCCACCCGCCTACGGCTCCAGCCTCTGGAGCTCTCTGGCTTTGTGTCTGTCCTTGCTGATCTTACAGTCCCGGCTGGGCGGTCCCCCTCGCCAGCCTGCCCCTGCCTTCCTCTTCCACATCCTCCATGGAACTAGGTCTGGCTTTGACCTGCCCCCTTCCCCACATTGCAGCCCTCTCCTCTGGGTGCCAGGCCTCAGGCCCCCTCGCAGTGCTCTGCCCACAGGAGGCTGCTGGTCCAGAGGCACCGTCTCTGCCGTCACTAACCCTCCTTTAGGTCTCCAGTGCGGCACTTGGCTCCTGTCGCTGGAGTGGGGTGAGTTCTTCTCAGTCACTAGGGAGTTAGCCACGTGGTCTGACAAGCTCTGCCAGGCTGTGCTCTGGGTGCCCTCTGGGATGGGACACCGGTGCTGGAACCATGAATGCTCTGAGGACAGCTCACAGCCCAGTGTCCACCCAGCACAGCCAGGGCTGCTGGGGCAGTGATAACAATGAATCAAGGCAAGGACTGATTGTCTCAGGGGCCAGGTGTCCATGTGAAGGGGCAGTTGCTGCAATCACCCCTTTGTCAACAACAGACACGCCAAGGCCTGAGTAGATGTGGAGAGGGGCTCCCCTCTTCAGCCCCAGGTCACCCCTGCAGGATACAGGGGCTCCAGGTCTGTCAAGCCAGCCCTTTTCAGCACTCACACTGGCTAACTGAAGGGGTGGGGAAGAGACCCAACCAACACTTCACTTCCTACAGGCCCTACCTCTAAACCAGCGGTTCTCAAACTGGGTTGGGACCCCAAAGTAGGTCGAGACCCCATTGTAATGGGGTCTCCAGGGCTGGTGTTAGACTTGATGGGACCCAGGGCCAAAGCCAAAGCCTGAGCCCCATTGCCTGGGGCCAAAGCCCAAACCCCACCGCCCGGGGCTGAAGCCAAAGCCCTAGGGCGTCAGCCCTGAGTAGCGAGTCTCAGGCTTTGACTTCCCCTCCACTTCCACCCCTGGGCAGTGGGGCTTGGGCTTGGTCTCCCCTGCCCCGGGCAGTGGGGCTCAAGTGGGCTCAGACTTTGGTCCCTGCTCCTGTTGTCAGAAGGGGGTCGCAATGCAATGAAGTTTGAGAACCTCTGCTCTAAGCAAAACAATACAAGTACAGAGTGATGCAGACCTTGGAGAGGTAACTATCCCTTGTATCTGCTGTCCCTGTGGCCACGGAAGGCCCTGCTGATCCAGGGTGGGAGCCCGCATGGGGATGACATGTTCACTCACTTCCCCTTCCTGCCTGAAAACATGCACACCCTGGCCCAGGGCAGCAGAGAGACCAGCTCAGAGCTCGTCAGGCTCCCAGCCTGGGGTCTGACTCACATCCAGGGAACTAATTACTGTTTACAGGGTGCCTAAGAATTTCAGAGAGCCAGGGGGATGGGAAAGGGCATGGCACCGGAGACACATGGAACCAGGCAACGTGGGGCAAAGGGACAATGGCAAAGGGGCCACAGCCAGAGAAAGCCAGCACCCACCTTGCTGAGTACAAGGCAAGTGTGTTTGCAGGATGCTTGGTAACCCCCTCCCCACTAACACTGGCCCCTACTTCTCCAGCTCTCTGCTAGTGCGGTCTCTAGTTACTTGTGGTAATTGGTGCTGTTTGGACCCGAGAAGGAGAGATTACTTATCTGTACAGTAACTGGAGTTCTTGGAGGTATTTTGTTTCAATGGGTGCTCCATGACAAGATGTGTGAGCATCCGTGCCCTCTCCAGTTCTTGTCAGCAGCACCTGTGGGTCCATGCCTGCATCCTTCCTAGACATCCTCATGCTCCAGCACAAGAGTATAGAGAGAGGGGTGAACCCACCACCATTCCTGCTCCTTCTCAGTCACAAAACCCAGAGGCAGAACTCCAAAGCAGAGAGGGAGGAGGATGGGCAGTGGAGCACCCATAGGGACAAAACACGCTGAAGAACTTCAGCTAAGATAAGTAACCTCTCCTTCTTCTTCGAGTCCCTACAGGTGTTCCACATCAAGAGATTCTCGAGCAGTGCCTCAGTATGGAGGAGGGTGCTGAGGAGGTGGTTTCAGTAGAGATTGGAGATCAGCATCGCCAAAGGCCGCAGCTGCCCTGAAAGCAGTCAAGACTGCACAGTGCTTGGAAAACGTGTGCGCATACAACCACGTGATGGCCCTGCAAATGTCTGTGATGGGTATGTTCTCAAGTAGGCCTATGGAGGTGGCTTGAGCCCTAGTGGAATAGACAGTCACCCTAGGGCAGGGGTCCTCAAACTTCATTGCACCACGACCCCCATCTGACAACAAAAATTACTACACAACCCCTGCGCGGGGGGACCAAAGCCTGAGCCCACCCGAGCCCCACCGCCATGGGCATGGGAGCCAAAGCCCAAGTCCCACTGCCCAGGGCCAAAGCTAAAGGCTGAGCCCCTTCGCCCAAGGCCAAAGCCCCACTGCCCAGGCGGGAGGGCCAAAGCCTGAGCCTCGCCACCCAGGGCTCAAGCCCTCGGGCTTTGGCTTTGGCTCTGGCCCTGGGTGGTGTGGCTTGGGCTTTGGCCCTGGGTCCCATCAAGTCTAACGCCAGCCCTGGCGACCCCATTACAATGGGGTCACGACCCACAGTTTGAGAACCGCTGCCCTGGGGGGATGCACCCCAGAAGCTTTGTAATATACCAAAACGCACCCCAAAACCCATTCTCACAATCTTTGAGTGGAAATCAGTTCTCCCTTCATTTTTTCTGTGAAAGAGAAAATCTGGGAGAAGCACTGAAGAGTCATACTGAGAGAGAAGGCAAGCGCTCTATACATGCAGAGTATGAAGAACTTCTAGCAAAGTTATGAATTTAAACTCCCAGGCTCATCTTTTGAAAGTGTTGTTGACACTAAAAATCCTGGACTGAACAGAGACCCTGGATTTATGGCTTATTGCAACAATCTGTAACCCACTAACTGGATGTGGAAGCTGCGGCATGTACATGATCCTGGAGGGGGTACCTGAAAAGAGTTTTGTCTGCACGAAGTGCCGCCGGATAGAGCTGATGGAAGAAAAGATCCGAGGATTGGAGATGCAGGTGGAAACTCTGGTTGAGTTTAGAAGGGGGTTCGAGCGGAGACATGAGGCTGAAGAGAAAAGCTCAGACTTGCAGATGGAAGCAGGACCAAAGAACTCTGAGGGGATATTGCTGGGTGAGGAAAGTGGACAGTGGAAGCATGTGACTAAGAGAACCAGGCAGAGGAAAAGATGGGCTAGTGAAAGAGAAACAGAGCTCAGGAACAGGTTTGTGGAGTTGGAAAATGAAGAAGGGGCAGAGTAGGTGGTCACTGAAGGTGAGAGGGTAAGGAAGAAAAGAGCAGCTAGTCCTATAGGAAGAGGGAAAGAGTCAGTGGAGATAACAACACCAAATATAAGCCCCAGAAGGATATGGGATGGGTTGCAGAGGATTGCAAGGGACAATAGGAATCGAGAGGACTTGCAGCCAGAAGGAACAGGGGATAGACTGGAGAATCGCACCATCACCAGGAAGAGGCAGGTCTATGTGATTGGGGACTCCTTACTGAGAAGAATAGACAGGACTGTAACAAGAGCTGATTCAGAAAACGGAAGAGGATCCTAATGGGAGTGGGAAAGAATCCACTGATTGTCCTTCATGTGGGAACAAATGATATGGCTAGATTCTCGCTGGAACGTATCAAGGGAGACTATGCCAGGCTGGGGAAGATGCTTAAGCAAATCAAGGCTCAGGTGATCTTCAGTGGGATCACCTGATGCGGGGAGGGTGGTAAAGCACTGAAATGCATTACCTAGAGAGGTGGTGGAATCTCCTTCCTTTGAAGTTTTTAAGGTCAGGCTTGACAAAGCCCTGGCTGGGATGATTTAGTTGGGGATTGGTCCTGCTTTGAGCAGGGGGTTGGACTAGATGACCTCCTGAGGTCCCTTCCAATCCTGATATTCTCTGATTCCATGATTCTGCCTGTTCCTAGAGGGCAACAAAGGTGTGACAAGATTATGATGCTCAGATGGCTTAGGCACTGATGCTGTAAGGAGGGCTTTGGGATGTATGGCCACTTGAAAGCACTCATGGAGAGAGGACTGTTCTCTTGGGATGGACTTCATCTGAGTAAGGAGGGAAATAAACTTCTAGGATGGCACAAATGATCAAGAGAGCTTTAAACTAGAAATCCGGGGGAGATGTCCAGGTAATCTCCACGCTGGATTTTAACACTGAGAGGGAAGAAAACAAAATAAGAAATGATACAGCTGTGGGTAGGAGAATGGACAAAAGGAGGAAGGGTACTATACATACCAGTCTAATAGGTGATACTGGCGGTAGAATGTCTGTGCCTAATCGGGTAAAGAATGTGAGTGAGGCCAAACAGCAAAAATTAAGATGTTTGTACACCACTGCGAGGAGCCTAGGTAACAAAATGGAGGAACTAGAGCTACTGGTGCAGGAAGTGAAACCAGATATTCTAGGGATAACAGAAACATGGTGGATTAATAGTCATGACTGGAGTACGGGTATTGAAGGGGATGTGCTGTTTAGGAAAGACAGAAATAAAGGCAAAGGTGGTGGAGTAGCATTGTCTATCAATGATGAGGTAGACTGTAAAGAAATAAGAAGCGATGGAATGGATAAGACAGAGTCTGTCTGGGCAAAAATCACATTGGGGAAGAAAGCTACTAGAGCCTCCCCTGGGATAGTGCTTGGACT